TTGGCACAACTTGGTGAGTACATCCAGGGCAGGATCTGTTAGCTGAAATACTTCAATTGGTATACCACCTATTCCTGGGGCCTTATTTTTTGCTATTTCCTTCAAAGCAGCTTGAAATTCTTTCTTCATCACTATAGGCTCTTGCTCATATGTTATTTCATTAAATTCTTCTGTATCTGCCAATTCCTTTTGCTACAATGACTCAGTATATTCCTTCCACCTTCTTTTAATACTTCCTGGATCATTTAACATTCTGCCTAAAGCATCCTTGATTATAGCAACTCTAAGTTTGAATGTACACACACACAAAATTTAAAAAAAATTCTAAAAATTGAGAAATGAGACAAAGAAGCTTAGAGTATGGCAAAAGATTGATGGAATCTAAGTTGGATATGAAGAAATCCTTTAACAAGGCTCAGAGTGGGATGGCTGGAGTGGGAGGAGATCACAGAAACTAAAGAGATTAAGAAACTGGAAAGAAAGGGAATGAGTTGGTCTATCAACGTGGACAGTGGAAGTCACCAAAGAGAATAGCCGAAATGAAAACAGTTGGGAAGATTGTGAGCCAGGTTTTAAAGTCTTTTGCAAATGAGATTGTGTACTCAGATGGTTAGTAGATATCGTCACTGAGAGAAGAGCTGCTGAATAAAATAAGCCTTAGAAACATAGGCATTTCTGTTTTCACAAGAATATGGGATTGCTCGTTTAGAAGGATGCGCCAAGAAGAGAATGGAAATTTCACAGCCTGTACTGAACAAAACAAATTGGTGATTTATAGCTTAGACAAAATGCTTAAACATTTGCAATTAAGAATAAGAATTTGTATACTCTTATTCTGAAACTCTGTTTCAAAACTTCTCCTTTATAGTTACTTTTTCATATCATGTTACTGATATATAATTTTATCTTCCAGGGCTTATATGGAATAAAAGAAGAAATTTTTCTCAGTGTCCCTTCTGTCTTGGGGCGGAATGGCCTATCAGATATTGTAAAAGTTAACTTGAATCCTGAGGAAGAGGACCTTTTTAAGAAGAGCGCAAACACACTTTGGGATGTGCAAAAAAACCTCACATTTTAAAGTTTAAATGTTCTGTTGTTTTCTAGAACAGAAGATAACAACTATGTACCTTATATTTTGGAAGCATTTTTATTTTATTGGTAAAACAAAAGAAAAAATGAAAATGAGACCTGTCACATGACTCCAGTCTGTTAAAATTAGAAAAAGGGAATGGTAAAGAAATCTTTCCCTATTATAAATCCTTGTAACTCTATTAATGATACTCATTCTGTACAGATTAAAATTAAACCTCTGAAGTATGTAACACATATAAGAATTTGTGTTTGGGCTCATTGGGATGTGTATACGTTGTTAAATGCCACTGAGTAGATTTCAACTCATTAAGAACCTCATCTGACAGAGTAGAACATGTAGACCATGTAGCCTAGGATTTTCTAGACTGTAAGTCATACCATAGTGAGGGCAGCTCTGGTGGCATCGTCTATAGCTAGTTTTACTGCTAACTCAGATGCTGCACTTTTCTGGTGTTTGAATCCACCAGACATTTTTCAGGAAAAGATGGAAAATATCCTCTAGCTAAGAGTTATTGCTATTGAAACCCAATGGAGGGTCTACATGACAGCAGTAATGCTGCTATTAGGGAATAATAGGGAGCTCTGGTAGCTTAATAGTAAGGAATTTTGCTGCCAATGCATAAGGTGTGTGATTTGAATCTACCGGCTGCAACTCAGGAGGAAGATGGGCAGTCTCCTCCTTTGTGATAATATTACCTTTGAAAACCTGCTGGAGGGTCAGCTGTGGATTGGTTCTGACTTGATGGCAACAAGAAGGGAGCTCTGGTGGCCTACTCCATAGGGAGTTGTGCTGCTAATCCAAAGGCCTCATCTTTCTTGTGGTTCCAGTGCATTAGTGACTGTGAAGGAGAAAAATGGGTAATCTCCTCCTGTATGATTTACAGCCTTGAAAACCCAATGGAGGACCAGCTTTGAGTTAGTAAAAATTCAATGGCAGTGAGAGGAAAAAAATTATAAGGAATTTTAGGCTCTAAACTATACTTATGCATCATTTTAACATCCACAATAAGTCTGTGAAATAGAATCTCGTGTGATCTGAATAATCTTTAAGCACCTTGAACAACCATCATGCTTTAGAAGTGATTGTGAATGTGCTGAGGAGGATTAACCTGTTTTGTCCTTAAACCACATCATTAGTGATTTCTTTGTCTAATAAAGGTTTCTCTCATTTTCATTGGTGGTGTAACTATTGATGGAGCTGATCCTTTAGCAGCTTCGAAAATTTTCACCTTTATGTTTCAGGATCAATGTCTTTGTTGAATGTGACATGATTTTACAAGCAACCAGTATTCATTGATTTTCACTTTCATATTGTTTAATATTTTCTTTCATTTTCAATGTTAACATTTGCTGCTACTCTCATCACACTAGTTTTGCTGTTCTTCAGAAACATAAGACAATTCATGGTAATATTTTTATTAAGAAAATAAAATGGTACTACAGTAAGATAAAGGTAAACAACCCAGCTGCAAAATGGGCACAGGATATGAACAGATACTTCACCAAAGAAGACATTTTGATGGCGAACAAACACATGAAGAAATGTTAAAAATTCCTAGCTCTAAGAGAGACGCAAATCAAAACAACTATGAGATATCTTCTTACCCTAATAAGAATGGCAAAATTTAATAGAATAGCAAACATCAAATGCTGACGAGTTTGTGAAGAAACTGGAACCCTTATTCACTGTTGGTGGGAGTGTAAAATGATATAACCACTAAAGAAGGCTGTATGGCGCTTTCTCAAAAAGTTGCAAATAGTGATACCATTTGACCCCACAATTCCACTACTGGGAATATACCCCAAAGAGACAGTAACTGCCACCCAAGCAGATATATGTACGCCCATTTTTATTGCTGCTTTGTTCACAATAGCAAAGAGTTGGAAACAACTCATGTGTCCATCAACAAACAAATGGATAGAAAAGCTGTGGGGTATATATATATATTCCCCCCCCCACACACAATGATATTCTATGCAAGACTGAAAAACAAGGAACACATGAAATATTATACAAAATGGTTGACCCTGGAGGACAGTATGCTGAGTGAAATATCTCAGTCACAAAAGGACAAATACTGCATAATGCCAGTTATAAAACTGGACTGACATGGGGTTTTGGGGAAACTAAGAAAAGAGGGGATAAGTAATGTACACAGCATTGAAACAGATGAGTGAGAGAACAGTATAAAAGAAATGTAAGATAAAGTATTATTGGCATGACAAGAGTCCAGAATACAATCTACATAGTAAAGTGCACTGGGGGGACAGCTGTCTAACAATGAATTTCTTTTTTTCAAGAGAAAAGTGAACTGGCGGGAAAGGGGCAGGGAGCAAAATGTGCAACAATGAATGAATTGAAATCCAAGTTCTCTATAAACTCATTAAATCTCAATTAAAAAAGAGGGAAAAAAACAGCAACACTACAACACTCAAGACAGTCTTTTTTTAAATTTAGTTTGTTAATTTTTCATTTCAATGAACATGTACAGAGATTTTGAAATTCCATTCATTCATTGTTGTACCCTTTCCCCCGCACCCCCCCCCTCGTTTGCCCCTCTCCTTGAAAAGCAACAG